TGAACATGGCATTGTTACTAGAAATAAAGCTCGTTTGGTTGCCCAAGGATACAATCAAGAGGAGGGCATAGACTATGATGAAACATTTGCACCGGTTGCAAGGTTGGAATCTATTAGGATGTTTTTGGCATTTGCTAGCTTTAAAAATTTCAAATTATTTCAAATGTATGTTAAAAGTGCCTTTTTAAATGGTTTTATAGAAGAGGAAGTATATGTTGAGCAACCCCCCAGTTTCATAGATCATGTTTTTCCTAATCATGTTTACCGGGTTCAAAAAGCTTTATATGGGTTGAAACAAGCTCCTAGAGCTTGGTATGCTCGCCTCTCTAGTTTTCTTGTTGAAAATGGTTTTTCAAAAGGAACAATTGATAACACTCTTTTTGTGAGAAAAAGGAAAAATGATTTCATTTTAGTTCAAATATATGTTGATGATATCATTTTCGGTGCTACTAATGAATCTTTGTGCAAGGAATTTTCTAAAGTTATGCAAGATCATTTTGAGATGAGTATGATGGGAGAGCTTACATTCTTTCCCGGGCTTCAAGTCAAGCAAACAAAGGATGAGATATTTATTTCTCAAAGCAAGTATGCTAAGGAATTGGTGAAGAAATTCAATTTGGAGAACTCTAAGCATACGCCTACTCCCATGAGTACAAGTGTTAAGCTTGATACGGATGAAGTGGTGAAGACGTGGACCAAAAACTATACTGAGGTAAGATAGGTAGTCTTCTTTATCTCACCGCTAGTAGACCCGATATCATGTTTAGTGTGTGTGCATGTGCACGTTTTCAAGCATCTCCTAAAGCATCTCATTTAATTGCGGTTAAAAGGATCATTAAGTATGTTAATGGAACTTTTAATATTGGTTTATTTTATCCAAAAAGCACCTCTTTTGATTTATATGGTTTTTGTGATGCTGACTTTGCCGGATGTAAGGTAGATCGCAAGAGTACGAGTGGAACATGCCAATTCTTAGGAAATTCACTTGTTTCTTGGGCTTCCAAGAAACAAAATTGTGTTGCATTATCCACTACGGAAGCGGAATACATTGTCGCCGGCTTATGTTGTGCTCAAGTTTTATGGATGAAACAAAGCTTAGTTGACTATGATTTAAATTTTCAAAATATAAAAATATTTTGTGATAACACTAGTGCTATAAATATTTCCAAAAATTCGATTTTGCATTCTAGAACCAAGCATATTGATGTGCGCCATCATTTCTTACACGATCATGTAGAGAGACAAGATGTATCTCTAGTATTTGTTGACACAAAATCTCAATTAGCGGATATATTTACTAAGCCTCTTGGAGAGGATGATTTTTGTCGCATAAGAAATGGCTTGGGCTTATGCACTATGTGAAAGTTCTAAATTGCTTGCTTGTTTAGTTGCATTTTACATTTCTCTTTACCCCATTTTCGATGGTGACAAAGGGGGAGAGAAATCTCCTCATTTGTTGCATATACTTAGGGGGAGCTCATAGATATGGGGAGCACCTATCTATAAGCTATCTGTATTTTTGCTCTTATATAATGGTTGGTTGTCATCATCAAAAAGGAGGATATTGTTAGCCCTTATGTTTTGATGATGTTTTACAACCACCATTATCGGTACTAATGGCTTATTGAGTAAAAATGTAGTGAATTCATATATCAAGCTTGTTAGTGCCACAAATGGAGGATTGAATGGAATATGCGCTACAACGATGATATCCAAAGGAGGATGAGGCATAGTGATGAAGCAACGCTATTTCAAGAATAACAAATTCAAATAGAAGCTTCATCCAACTCAAGCTATATCAAGACTCAAGAATTGCATTCTATATGAGGATATTAGCTAGCTTTTATTTTTCTCTATAGTGCTAGAATGTAGGCAAAGAATTATTGATTTCACTTGAAGCTATTGGGATATCACACACACGTTTTCATACTTATGTTTTTAAGCGTTTTTCATAAAATACTATTTCTTACAAGTATGAGGACCTATTTGCAAAATTCTTTTTCTAAACAATTTGTTTTTAGTATTAAAAACATTTTACAAAGTTTCACAATTTTTAGAAGTCAAATGAATATTTTACAAATTGTTAAAGTGTGTCAAAATCAGTTTTTTGGAATGTATCGGAATGCGGTCGACCGCACCTGTGTTCATTCGTCAGTGGGCAGCAGAGAGTTTGTCGGTCGACCGCCGCGAGAGCTCGAAATTTCCATCGGTCGACCGCACCGGTCGACCGAAGAAGTCTCTGCTTGTTTTCTCAGTTTCGGATCTGGAGCGCGGTCGACCGCAAATTTCGTCGGTCGACCGCCAAGTTTTTTTTCAAACGGTAATTTTTAGTACCTTTTCGGCGTCGCTCAGTACAGATTTCAGCGACGATTGTTTCCAGATTTTGGGGGATTAAGGGTATGGGTTTAAACAGCTGGTTTCTTCTATTTAAACTCAACCTCTTCTTCTTCCTCAGTGTCCCAGCTTTTGTAAAAACCAGAGACGCTGTTTTTACTGAGCAAAATTTCCAAACCTGTTCTTTCTGAGTTTTTATGTGTTTCACTTCCCAGCTTCAGTGTGCTCTTTCTCTTTGCCATAGGGACGTTGTAAAGAGAGAATCTTACACCATTTCTACTATCTTGAGAGTGTGATCTTGTGTAGATCAATTGTGAGGAGTGTGATCTAGTGAGATCAACTGTGTAGTGTGAGATCGTGAGGGGATCGTTGTGTAGACGAAGTTCCGGCTTCCAAACCGGGTTGTGTAGTGGATTTCTCCTCGAGAGTGGGGAGCTGGGACGTAGGTCAGCGGACCGAACCTCGTTAACACATCGCGCGTCACAGGATAACGATTCCTAACCCCATCTCCTCTATTTTGATTGCATTAGAATATTATGGTTTGCTTGTCTTAATTTTATTACATAATTGTAGCCTCTTGACCCTAATCACCCCCCTCTAAGGTCCAACAACACCTACCCCACTCCTCTTGGGACGACCCCGTCTCTCACCACACACTCCTCTTGGTGTACTAGTATAATACAAAGTGAATCTCACAATTTAGGCACTTAGTAAATAAATTGTTCTTTACAATGGATGAGAACATAATGTAAGCTCACACTCAATGTCACACAAACCCCACAACCCAAATTATACAATGTATGAAAATACAATAAGCTCAAGTAGGTGTGTGTAACAAGAGATTTAATAAAACAAAATCAAATTAAACTCAATATAGATTCTAGCTTATGGAAATAAAAGTCAAACATATAAAATAGCTAGATTGAGTTTAGAAAACTTCTCTAGATGACAAGAGAGAGAAGGAGAAGATAAAATAGCTAGATTGAGTTTAGAAAACTTCTCTAGATGACAAGAGAGAGAAGGAGAAGAGTTGAATGCTCAAACACCAATAGATGATCTCCCCAAGCTCTTGTGAAAGTTTCTTCACAAACAAACTCTTAAACAAAGTTAAACAAAACTTAAATACCCTTAAACTTGTTTTAAACAATTCTCTTGAGTTAATAAAACTGAGGATATGTGGGGGTATTTATAGGAACCCCAAAGCCAAAAGAAAACAAGACAAAAAGACCAAAAACCCAAATCTGTAAAAGGCTGAAAAAACTAGCCGTTACAGCATCAGTTGGCTGACGGCTTCCATCAGTCGACTAATGAGTTGACCGTTAGAGGTATTTTCCAGCTCATCAGTCGACTGACGACCTTATCAGTCGACTGATGATCTCATCAGTCGACCAAAACAAAATAAAAAATTTTGACATTCCAGGCGATTTCTTTAGTCGATTCATCAGTCGACTGATGTCATCAATCGACTGACCAGTCGACTGATAACAAATTATCAGCCTATTTTAAAACAGAAATCTAATTTTCAAACATATTTTAAAAAAAGCAAATAAAATCAGAAAAATATAAAACTTTGGGAAATGATTGTAAACATGATAATATACATGTTACAAAAATTGGTTTTCAAAAAACACCTCCCAAAAGAGAAATCTCTTCATTTTACAAAATAGTCCAAAACATGTAAATGAAAAACACTTGTTTTTAACATTGGACATAAACCATGTTTTGAAACTTTATAAACTGATTTTATAGACTTACTAAAAGATGTATGTTATGATTGTTAAGTCTATAAACTAATAACTCAATATTATGCAAAAATAAGGTTTTTGCACAATATGCATTTAACAAATATGAAACATGTATATATATGTAAACAATAATATAGGTTTCATATTTATATAAACTTGTAAACTATAAAACCAAAACTTGTGTATATATACATAACTATATATATATACATAAATAAAATGTGTGTGTATATGATATTGAGCTTAGAGTACTTAACACACATAATATAAAATCTAAACTAAATTACTCAAGTTTGATGAAGGTCTTCAATGAGTTCGACTTGGTAAACTTGCGGATGAAGCTTGAACTTGGATCTTCAACTTGAATTGCAAGGCTTCAACCACTATTCCGCCAACCTCCATTGGATATGATCATGAATGCTCGATTCCATCCATCCTCTAACTTATTGTTTGTCTAAAATAAATACAAAGCACAAACACTAGACAAATAACATTAGTTGTAAATTGTTTGTTAATCATCATCAAAACAAAAGGACCCAACAAATATAATATGTGACCCACATCTCTCTCTCTCTCTAAAATTCATTATAATCTACAGGAATTTCACACTTTTTATCGAACAAAAAACAAATTTTTGGTTGAACATTTTTAGTTCTGATAGAATTTTTTTAGTATGCGATCAATTCTTTTCATACATTCCATATCATTACCGTTTTCAAAATTATTTTTGTTGGTGAAATGCAAAGTTAAATACGAGGTCCGCTTCTCTTTTTCTCTCCAGAGTACAAGAAAATGATCATCTAAGAATACAAATTTGAAAATAAAAATAAAAGGCCGCTTATTCCTTGTTTCCTGTTGGGCGCCCAACAGCTAAATCCTGACCAAACAGGCTGTGTGGAGCCAACGGAGCGCACCTCGAGAACCCGAACTTTTCATTTCCCCTTCAAAGCTTCAACAGTGGAAATAAATAATAAAAATAAAAATAAACCAGGGAAGCGCCCACCGTTCACTATCAAAACAAAACCAGCGAAGTTCTGGAGCCACGACCAGCGTCAAAGGTGTGGGAGCAAAGAATTCCATCATCCCTCTTCTGGGTACTCTCCATCTCTCAGTGATCTCCATTTTTCTTTTCTTTTTTTCTTTTTTTTAAAATTAGCTGCTGTTGATTTAAGTTTCTATTTTTGTGCTTGATCATGGTGGTGGGTTTTTCTCTTTGCCCTTAATTACATTCTACGTTGCAATCAAAGTGGGTTTTGGGTTTTCTAAGGACTGTTCTCCGTGGGCTCTTTTTTTTTCCCCTTTCTTTTCTCTTTTGGTAGCTCTTAGCATTTGACCAAATGTATGTATTATCATGACATTGTGTTGCTAGTTTGGTATGTTTTCAGTTGTAACTTGAAAATTATTGGTTTATGTTTAAGGTGTCCAAACGACTTTAGTATAGCCTGTTTGGTTGGAGGCTAGAGAAGGGAAAGGGAAGGGAAATTTTGGTTTAACTTTGTTTGGGAGTTCCATTTAGAAGGGTAGAGGAGGGGAATGAGGAGGAAAATTAAACTAAAATCTTACCCCCAAATTGGGGGGTAAAGAAGGGGAAGGGAAGGAAGGGAAAAAATTTTCATTCCTTCCCTTCCCTTAGGGAAAGTGCAGCAAGCTCCCACCCCACCTCCTAAGGCTGAGGTGGCGGTGGGAGCTTGCTGGACTTGCTCCAGCAAGCTCCTAAGGGAGCTCTGAGAGCTTCCGTGGCACAAAGCCTAGGGCTTTGTGCCACGGAGCTCCCAAGCTATTAAAAAAATTTTTTTTAACAAAAAACTCATTGCTTTTGTACCTTTGCAATAGAAGAGGGGTTTTTTTGATAGGGTTTTTTGATAGAAGAGGGGTTTTTGATATTGTTGGAGCTCCTAACTAGGAGCTTGTTGGAGCTCCATAAAAGAAGAAGTGCCTCTCAAGGCTTAATTTGTTAATTTTTTATTCTAAAATGCTTGAGAGCTCTTGAGAGCTTGCTGACTAGGACTCCCAACTGGGAGCTTGCTGTACTTGCTCTTAGTCATCTCCCAAACACACCATACATTGGGCATAGTGATTGATAATGGGGTGAAGTGTTGACATTAGAATTTGGCTCTTATTGAAAGGAAAGAGGTCAATGTGGAAGAAAATAACCTAGTCTTTTTATTTATTTATTCGGGGAAATAAGGGGAGATCATATTGGGAAATTCCCTTATTTGAAATGAATAGTGAAGTGCTATTTGCAGTCAATTTCCTCAAAATAATTATTTCTATGTCAAGAAGGGGAAATTCACACTAGAACTAAGTCCTGTGGCCAATCTTTTGTGCGGCAGTACATTTTTTTATTTTTTATTTTTTGATCAGTAAGCTTCAGTTTTTATCCATCTCAAAGGGACTTTAGTACAAATGGATACAGCCGTCATATATCATGAGTATATTATTTATTTATTTTTAGTTATTAGTTTGACCTCCAGTAATCCCGATGTGTGTTCTAGGTTCCTCTTAAAATCTAAGGTGAAGGACTCAACTCGTGTATGAAATGGTATATGAAAGCAAATGCTATCTAGGCCGAGAGAAATTTTGATTGATGAACATGTTCATGAACTTGCTGTGAATCAGTACAAATTTTAATTTATAGAACTGGAAACATGTTATTCATATTAATTATGAGTAAAATTGTGACTGGGTGACGAGAATTTTTCCGAAGCTTCACAATTTTTACGAGAGGACTTCACTATCAGATGAGGAAAAAATAGAAGGCTAATAAACAGATGAAAAATTGCTTCTTGATGTTTGTTTCATGAAGGTCCTTTTAAGGAATTGCCTCTTTACAATATCTTTAATAATGATCAGAATTTTGTAGTAATATGTAATACATAGAATTTTCACATAAAATACATGTTTCTTTTGAACCAAGAATGGAGTAGTTAACTATGAGTAGCCCGGGCAGCATGTAACTCCCACTATCCGTAGTGTTGGGAAGGGGTCATATCACTTTGGGTCTATGTACACAGCCTTACTTTGGATTTTTATAAGAGAATTTTTCCATGACTTGAACTCCTAATATCGAGGTCACACTACGATAATACTTATGTTACCAAGGCTCCCTACCAAAAAATATGACAGTTACTTATTTTCATAGATTGAAATCAAGGAAGCGAATGTGAAGACTAAATTATCTTGATCTAGAATTTGTGGATTACATATAAGATAACTTTTGATCCTTAATCTTTAGGAAAGGAGGGCGTAGTAATGAATAACTAGCCATTCATGGTCTTGTATACACCCAAGCAAGGTTTGAAATGTCAGATGTTGGGTTCGTGTTGGATGGTAAAAATCCATGTCAGATAGCGAAAACTGGGGATAATCTCGGGGGATATGTACTGAATATCTGATTTCTATATTGGATCGCCTTATTGTATGTTGTGCATATATGTAATATGACTTCCTAAATGCAATCTAAGCATACTTAATAAATTCTATAGTCTTAACATACAAAAGATAAATAACATATGATATTTTGGTCACCAACCGATTGTAGAAACTTGATTCTCGAGAGAGAGAGAGGGAGAGGGAGAGGGAGAGAGAGAGAGAGAGAGAGAGAGAGAGAGAGAGAGAGAGGAAAGACTGAGAGCAAGGGAGAGAGACTAACAGTGAGAGGGGGATAGAGACAGAGATATGAGAGAGATTGAGAGAAAGGAAAGACTAAGTGAGAGGGAGAGACCGAGAGAAAGAGAGAGAGACAAGAGAGAAACTAAGAGAACGAGAAGGAGAGGGAGAGAGAGAGAAAACTTTGATTCAAAGAAGAAGGATGGGTGAAGCTTTAGTTTCCACTCCCAACGTCAAACCTTAATTTTCCATAGAGAGGGAGGGAGGGAGGGAGGGAGGGACCTTCAATCTTGGAGACAAAGAAGAAAAGACGGAGTTGAAGAGAGGTCGAAGTTCTAAATGTAAAAAGAGTCCTAAACAAAAGGTATATTTAAGGGTAGTGTTGTCAATGCGCAAGGCACAATGCGGGGCGCAAAGCATCTTTACGCGCACATGTGCAAGGCGCAACGCGATGCGTGCGCCCGAGTGATGCGAAGCGCACACCGCACACATAATTTTTCAATATATACAATCAAGTGCAAAAGAACACATTTTTAGAATTTACATGAAAATTATGTCAGGATAAATAATATCTTACTACAAAAGCATAATATAATGCATTAATTTCTAATGCTAACACCCAACATAATAGCAATATTCATAAATTTTTAAATTAAATGTTAAATGACGACTAATATCCAAGCAAAAGATTAGTAATGGTCCTAAATTGAAGGCTACTAAAATGACCTAATGGATTTATTTTGTATTTTGGGATATGGATTATCAAGTATAAAGACTCGATTGAAATGTTAACAAACAAAATTATATGAGGATATGTACTACATGCACCCTGCACAAAATAAGGATGTACACGAGGCGCAAAAGGCGCTGCTACATCAAATGTGGGGCGTTTCGTCATTGCCTCGCATTACAAGGTACATGAGGCGTAGTGAGGCGAGCCAGAGTCTAGGTCCGTGTTGGTTCATCAGTGCCCGACCCTAGCCTAGCCCAGCATGCAGGGGGACACCGGGGTGTCTATGTGCACACATATATAGATTAACGGGTATCCTTGACAAGGAGGGGATTTTCCTCCACAATGATGTGGCACAATCCCCACCATGCGAAGGAGAAAGAATAAAGTAGGAGAGAATTTCATATGGTGGGGATTATGCTACATCATTGTCAATGAGGGAATCCCCCTCCTTATCAAGGATACCCATTAATCTCATATATATATATATATATATATATATATATATATATAGAGAGAGAGAGAGAGAGAGAGAACTTTGGTCATGACGAGATCGAAGCCGTATTTCGCACAGCAAACGTGCTGAAATCTTTATAGGCCGTTGCGATGCTGAATGTGCACGGGCCTAGCAAAGTTTCATTCATCTCGTGGACTACAATCAACAACACATTTCCCCAAAACCCCATTCCTCCTCATTTCAGCTAATCTCCAGACTCTCCTCCCTCTTCTCTCCCCATACCTCCTCCTCTCTCTCCCCAGACTCTCTCGCCTCCCATCTTGTGACGCAGCACCCGTCATCGACCGACGGACTTCGGATCCGAACCCTCCGCCATTAAGCCCGCCGTCGACCGACTCCGGATCCGACCCAGACCCCAGCCCCAGCGGTCGACTCCGGGTTTTTATCTTCTTCTACTATTCTTGCTATTCTTGTTATTTTTTTCCATCATTTGTGATGTGGGTTGTTTGTGAAAGTGGGTTTTCCTCCATTTTGTTTGTTGTTTGTGAAAGTGGGTAGATTTGGGGAAACTTTAGGGCTTAGATTGATTGCTCGATTTTGAAATTTTAGGGCTTTTTAATTTCTTGCTTGATTTAGGGCTTTTTGATGATTATTGTTGGCTATTTGATAAATGCTCTTGATAACTTTATCCCTTTTTGTTAAAATGGTTGGATTTGGTTGTGGCAACAAACAAGCAAAGCACAACCCCACACAGAGCCTAAGTCATAGCGACCTATGTTGATCGGTGCAACATTTGAAATTTATTTTGTCCAGTTGCCTCTCCTCTCCCTCTCGTGTGGGTCTCCTTCTCTCGCGGAGCACTTGTCATTATTCCCATCTAACGTTTGAAAGTTTGAAGGCTTGTGGCTGTAAATATTTCTCACATTTGAAAGTTTGAAGGCTTGTGGCTGTAAATATTTCTCATCTCCAATTTTACATTTTCTTATCAAAGTGTTACTTCAGTCAAGAACATGAACCTATCAGGACCAGCCACAAGCCACTATTACAAGTTTAAACCTGCACAACAACACAAGTTTATCCCTTACATAGAAGAGACATTATGGCTAGCTCTTGATATCTCAGATATTTGTCTTATAAATACATACGCTTACTGAAGTCATCAATCAAGTGCATCCAAGTTACAGAGCCGATTGAATAGAGAATCATGAGTTGTGGTATGTTTTTTGCAGATAGTATGAATTTTATCTTGTTTGTGGTATGTTTTTTGCAGATAAAAGATGAAGAACTTTTATCTTGTG